GGAGGGAGGGGTGGGGAGGCTGTTGACATGCGAGAGCTTCAAGAGCTGACCTGCGTCTGACCTCAAAGTGCACAAGCTTCAAACTTCAGCGTTGGTCGCGATTTTGAAGCTGAAATTGCGTTCGGTGTGAACGCAGCATTAAACCATCAGCATTGAGTCACGGCTTGCTTCTTTTGCATTTGCAGTCAGATGCTTTTAAATCGCCACCAAACGTCACTGTAAAAGAAAGAGACAGCATCTCAAACACATAWCAAATCCACCACTGTGTGGTGTCAACAATACTTAATCTCACGCTCTCCTCTCTCAAACGAAAAGTGATGGAGGCCAGGCTAGGGAGCCTATTTATGGGGTCGCTAGGCATCATGGGTAATTGCCTCTTTGAAGAAGAGACCTCGCTCTCACAATATCTCAAATGATGCTGTTTACATCTCTGAGACGAAGGCGAACGTAAATGAAAAATAATATCTTGACTTGGACTTGTGATTGGCTCAGGACATCCCAGATTAATTGTTTGAAACATTTACACAGATCACCACTTTAAGGCAGAATTGTTACTTTAATTCTTAGATTTCTTTTTGTCATTTTACTAAGTTTGAATCTGTTATTCCTTTTAAAGTGAATAACAATGCAATAACAAGCTGTCAGTGTCCACATTGAAAKACTGTATACCAGTCGATTTTCGTTCACTCTCTGAATAGTCTTTGCCACGGTGTTGGTTTTATTAAGCTGCTTCTTTATATCTGTTTCTCAGCCGTGGACGTCAGTTCACTGTGCTCTCAAGATGTGTTGCGGGTGCTGATGTCTCTTCAGCCTGTGCTTCAAGATGCCATCCAGAAGAAAAGGACAGTTCGATCATGGGGTTTCCAGGGGCCTCTCACCTGGCAGCAGTTCCACAAGATGGCTGGACGTGGCTCTTACGGTAAAGTTAAACCTGTACCAAAAAAAAATAATAATAATTCAGCTACTTGGACAAAACAACCTGATAGTTAAAAGACAAAAAGATTTTTACTGTCATCTGTGCATGGCATGCTTTAGGATGGGAAATTAGATTATTTCCCATATTTATTAGATCTTATGCAGTCTAGTYCCTTGGGTGTTGTTCACATGTCTGCTCTGAGAGTACTATCTGTTGAGTATTTTTATGACCTTTCATTATATTGCRCAGTGACATAACATACGGCCGATACCTTTTAAATATACTCAGTTATGTTTGCTATGTTTCTCTGTACTCTTGCTTCCCCTTATCACATTTAAAGGCACAGACGAGTCACCCGAGCCTCTGCCCATCCCCACCTTCCTGGTGGGTTATGAGTATGACTTTGTGGTTCTGTCTCCATTTGGGCTGCCCTACTGGGAGAAACTGCTACTGGATCCATTTGGCTCTCAGCGGGACATCGGGTATCTAGTTGTTTGTCCTGACAATGAAGCCCTGCTCAGCGGCTCTAAAAGCTTCTTCCAAGACCTCTCTGCCGTCTACGAGGTAAGGAAGAATAGCTTTTGTTTTTTCAAACCACAGCTACATTCAAGCCTCCATTATTTTCCTAACCAAATTCTCTTTGTATATTTGTTTATACACACACCAACTTGAATTTTTGACCTTGATGTTTTTGTTTTGTTTTGTTTTTTTCTTTTACAGTCTTGCCGCCTGGGACAACACCGACCCATTTCAAGAGGGTATCCTGATGGCATAGTAATTGTTGGGGGCAGTGCAGCCAAGACCCTAGCAGATCAGCCAGTCAGTGAGTGGTTCCTCAAAGGTGCCAGCGGCAACAGCGACGCCTTCACCAAGCTCAAACTCTATGCACAAGTGTGCCGCCACGACCTTGGTATGTGCCATGCACAGACACCGTTACTGCTCTTTATCTGCTGTGTTCTTGATTCTGCATGGCCTCTGGTTCCTCTGGCACTGGTTGTGTGTTTAGTCAGCTCTTTGTTGCTCAGTTTCCACTTCAACACCTCTTAGTTTAGTTAATATAATACAGACTTATTTTTAAAAGGCTAGCCAGAGAGCCTTSACTGTGTAAAAGGAAGCTGTGCTTTGAAATGGCAAAGAAGTGAGATCAGTGTAGGAGGATGTTGAAATGGAATGAATTGAATATTTTTCATGCCTCCRCATCAGAGACAGCAGGAGCTGGATGTTGTGTTTTCTAGTCCTCTGTCTCATTCTTGTGAAGCTTAAAAGCACTCTGGTGGCAAGTATTTAAAGTTTACACAAAAGATGAATTGATTAGACTTTATTTTTTATTAATGGATTCAAACAGTAGGGATGGTTTATTTTCAGAAGATAACACTTTTCTGGTGTTCAGGCGTTAGTATCAGATTGTACAACCAGAGTTGTAAAATTCTAGGAAATTTCAAAATTGGAATTATCCATGGGAATGTAGTTAACAAAAACATATGAGAATAAMTCTGAAATCAAAAATAATTTGTGACTTTAACTATAGGAATAGTTTAGCATAATCTTGACTAATTCAATCAGACTTCACTTCTATATCATTCAATAAGAAGTACAACATCGTAAGAATTGTTGTGTATGTGTGTGGGGGGTGTGGGGCGTGTAATATGTATTTTCCAGACACATAGTTCAATTCTATACCACAATCAAGTAACTATGTTACTTTCAGTTGTTATGGAAATGCTGTAAATGTCAAAAATAAATTAGACTTTGCATCATAGCCTATCATAGCGGRAGATTGACAGGCTGATTGGTGCTGCATCAACAGTGATGCGGGCGCTGTACAGGTCTGTCATGGTGAAGCAAGAGMTGAGCCAGAAGGCGAAGCTCTTGATTTATTGGTCGGTCTACATTCCTACCCTCATCTATGGTCACAAACTTTGGGTAGTGACCGAAAGAACGAGATCATGGATACAAGCGGCCAAAATGAGTTTCCTTYGCAGGGTGTCTGGGCTCTCAATTAGAGATAGGGTGAGAAGCTCAGTCATCCAGGAGGGACTCAGAGTAGAGCCGCTGCTCCTCCACGTCGAGAGGAGCCAGTTGAGGTGTCTCCGGCATCTGGTTAGGATGCCTCCTGGACACCTCTCTGGTGAGGTATTCCAGGCACGTCCCACTGGGAGGAGGCCCAGAGGAAGACCCAGGACACAATGGAGGGACTATGTTTCTCGGCTGGCCTGGGAATGCCTTGGGATTCCCCCGGATGAGCTGGCCCAAGTGGCCGGGGAGAGGGAAGTCTGCGTCTCTTTGTTTAGGCTGCTGCCCCCACGACCCGACTCCGTTTAAGCGGCAGAAAACGGATGGACGGACGGACGGATCACAGCCTATATCCTTGAAATTGGCCTGTGTCTCTGTTAACCTGCAGGCCTAAAATACCATACAACACAAACATATACAAATTAAATGAAGTATTGCTCTTGAACCCTTTAGAGTAAATTCACAACCTTGGTTTCTTTTTAAAGCTAATAATCTGAATTTTTAACTTTAGTAGTCATATTTTTGTAACTGTAACTAGTATTTAGGTATTGAAGTTAAAATACATAAAAATCAAGATATTTTTCTCCCTAAATTTGTATTTTTTATTAATAAAGTATCACAGAACATGAAAGGAAGGAGGTATTGAGAAAGAAAATATATTGGGCTAAAATATAGATTCCCAACTAATACCAGTTCAGATTTGGTAACAGTAGCATAAAAATGAATATTTGAGACATAATGCAATCCAGTATGTCCCATTTGCATAACTGTACACATGTCCAAATATGTCCAAACAGGACACTTTTTCTAAACACAAATTTTTAAATGCTTTAACACAGAGACTTTACTCTGGGCTCAAGTTAAAGATAAAACCCCCACATATCGCTTCTACCATCCATATTTACTCAGCATGATTAAAATACAAATAATAATAATAATAATATTCAGCAATATTAAAACCAACTGGAGGACATTCAGCAAATCTCCATCAAAAAACAGCCAAAACACAATAAACAAATATATCCTTACTTTTTTCAAAGCATTAAAATTGTGTGGAATTTTAATGCTTTGAAAAAAGTAAGGATATATCTATCTATATATGTAGCTTATAAAACCACCAGCAGAAAATAAACTGTTGTTTTTCATTCACCTTTGATGMATATTTGTCCTTAGATATGACAAAATTAACTATTCAAAATGGCCGACCGGAAGTAGTGTCATACTGTATGCCCATTTTTAATTTAGTAAAATYACTCTTCCATGTCTTGAAGCACTCAAAACACTTCATAACAAATATATTCCACTTTACCAGCATGTTTAGTCAGCTATCTGTGCAAAACATGATTTAAAAATGTTTTCTGTGAGTGTTGCTTTGACCACTAGGGGGACAAATCAATAAACACATGACGATCTTTCCTAAGCTTCATTTCTGACTCACTTCACAAGGTTCYCACCACCCAAAACTATATACCAAATGAAAAGTAAGGTGATTGGCTTGCACAGCTGTGGCATCAGAATGAAGTTCAGAGCTGATTGGCTGATTCTAGTCAATCTAACCCATGGTATCGAAACCAGAAGTTCAGTTCAGTTCAGTTCAGTTCAGTTAGTTTATTAATTTCTTTTAAAAAACAACATAAATTCAACATAGAACAAAAATACAAATCATAAATTAAATGAAAGGTAGTAGAAGATGATAAAATATTATTTTATCTGCCCCTTTTTCTCAAATAACTAATTTCAATCAAAAATAATCTTTAGTTTATAAAAAATAAAAAAAGGAAGAAGAAAGAAAAAATACGAAGGTTTAACTCCTTGAACAACAATTCAAACAATTGGTACATATTTCTCCAGCAAATTAATTCTTTATCATTTTCTTAAGTTGAGGAACTTGTCACACATTTTCGGCTCTGGAGAACCATTAGATGAACGTGGTTGGTCAAATGAGGAGTCAATGCATATAAAAAATAGGTTTATTGTGTGAGCAGGACGGCATTTCCTGGCAACATTAGTGAAGCAGCGGCGTTCTGTTCACTAGGGTGTGGCATCCCGGCAATTTATCGGTGCATAATTGCCTAAAATAGCTATAAAAATAGGTTTAAAATCCTACATGCCTTGCGGTATCAAGCTTGTTAAAAAAAAGAAGAAACTAGAAACGGCGTTTTTCTGAGTTTCAAAAAGGGTATCCTCGGGATGGCG